TTTGCCTACACGCCGCCATTTGCGTCAGTGAAGAACGAAGAGAACCGGCCTATCTAAAATTATAATCTGAAAAAGTGCACGACCGTTCGCGCGCGTGTATGTGAGTGTGAATGTATTACACATGCATGTATGTGTGCGTTGCACGCGAGAGGTCGAGTGCGCGCGCGTAGTCGATTAATTATGGCAAATCGCGTATTATTATAAATTTCGCGGCTAATTGGTACCTTTTTAGCCACGCGAGGCATCCTTTTAACATGGTGAATTCTCGATGTTCGACCCGCTCATTACATATCCTCCAAACGCGAAATTTATTCGCGTTTGGAATCCTTCACATATAAGAGCTATAATAAAGTTTCTAATAATTTATAATAATTAAATAAGTGAATAATTTTTAGAAACTATGCACGCTAATCTTACGTACTGACATACACACTGTTACGATTTAATGAATCCTTTAACGAGTCGATGAACCATGTACAACGTACGTTGCTGAAATACAATGAATTCCGAAAAGCACCAGCACCTGAATATGATGACAAATGAATACTTCCGGCGCGAGGGCACTCAGCCACAAATGGATTTTGATCGGAGCGGTTGAGTTTAATGCGAGTTAATTAGCTCTTCAATTATCGCCGTCGGACCGCCGAAATGGTAAATCGTTCGTGAATGAAGCGTTTACAGCTCGATGCTAATTTAGGGTACACCTGTTTCTTGACAAATGCGACAAAGGGATCCAAATGTTCTCTATTTTATCATTGCAATTACCTCGCATCGTTTAAGTAATTCTTCTGCTCATAATAAACATGCATGTTTTTGACAAGTAAGTAGTTTTTTCAAATAATTTATTATAGAAGCAGTAAGAAATTTTTAAGCCTTTAGTTAAGATAGGTAATTATTGAGATATCTTTTGTAAAAATAATCAATTAATAAAAAACATTTAATACAACATCCGGGAAAATGATCGATATAAGTTGATAAACTTTAAAACAACTGCGCAAATGCAAAGGTATCGATTGCGTGTAATAAAGCAGCGCTCAGGCTGTCTCGTTGAACATATCTACAGAGTTTATGCTACATTTTACAATCGGTCGGCGTATTTATTCGCCAAGCGAGAAGAAACGACGCTTGCACGACACTATAGTACGCCCTGATCGATTTAACGCCAAATGTCGCCGTGTTTTACACGCGGCAATAATGGTTGAAATCTATGTAGCCAATATTTCAAGCCACCCTTTCTCGCCTGCGCGTCCCTAACCCTCACATGGATAGCTTTCGTATACCAACGACACGTAACCTTGATTATTGGTCCGCATATGGACATCGTTCGATATTTTTTATATTCTACGGAGAAATAAAAATATAAACGCAATCATAGCACCGGTACTTTTCGAAAGTATGTGATTAATTTCTGGTGACGTGAGTAACTTTCAATCATAAAGCATATTGCATGCTTTGACAAAGTTTAGAATATACATTTTGAAGTCTTTAAAATAAATGTTTATAAAGAGAGTTAGAAAAAATAAAAACATTATTCAGAATTTGTACTTAACGATTTAATATATGAAACATCTTATGATTAACTTTTTTGTGTAAATATTTCGTACTTTAAGTAGTATTCTGAAAAATATGAAATAATTTAATAGGAATAATGAAAGAATAAAGAAATTTATATCTTGAAGAAAGAGAGCGATTTAAAACACACATAAGAGAAGAGTGATAGTCCCGAGGGAGAAATATAATTCCTGAAGTTTGGCAAAAAAGATTCTATAAAAGCGATAAACGTACTTTACGCAAAAGTTGAATGCATCACGCAAAACAACTTCAAAGATTACTTTCTAACCCTTATTTGCTAGTCCATTTGTCTTCATAACCTTTTAGACAGTCGATCTTTTTGACATTTGCATGTATTATTCTGTGTATGAGGTTACATTCAATTTATATTCGTTTGTAACTTTCATCGTTGTTACATTTTTATTTATATCTCTATATTCACCAATTTTAACAATATATATATGAATTCTTTGATGTTAGATATAGATTATAAATGCTTCACGTAAAACGTTTTAATTTCCGCAATGTCAAACATATTTATACAGCTAACTTTTAAATTAAAACTTTAAATTTATTTTAAAATTAAGTAAAGAGAATAAATGTCACCAAATTGCAAATGCACACATAAACAAGTGATTCGTGTTCGCGTATCGGTTGTCTTCTTAACTATATTGTTAAACTTACATTTAAGGGTTTCCGTTTTCGGACGAAAGGACACGTCGTTGTAACACATGTGTCTTTACGAGCCCGTAATATTTTAGGGAGCTCTCTCTCCCGGCCCTCGTTCTTTAAAAACTAGCCAGTGCATATGTCGACGCAGGCGACATAATGTTATCAAGCTGTCCAGAAAGAGCCGCCGCCGATCGCCGCCACGTAAGGCCGAGGACCTCGGGGGACCACGTCCTCTCTCTCGCCCACTTCGCCCTTATTGATATACCGAATAAACACACTTGGCAGCTAGGCCAGGACGGCTTTGCGAGGCAAATAGCTTCGGAAGAACCCTACGTTCGAGGAAATATCTTTCCTTCCTTAAAGTCGACACCATGCTTGACACTGATAACAGCGATTGTGACAAAAGTTAAAGCGTTTCGAGTTATAAAGAAGGAAAGACATAAGTTGCTTTCTTTTAAAACATTATTTTTATATAAAATAATATTTATAGCAACAGAATTACTTTACTGACAATTTTATCTCACTGACAAATGACATGCGCAAGGATGATATATGTTACATTAAAGTATAATTATACGTTGATATGTAATGACTAAGAATGTATTCGTAACGGTCGTCTTTGACTTTATTTCTGGCCGAGAAATTGCTCCTTTCTTAAAGTACCGTAAGTTGCAATAAGACTGCTTCATTAAGTTTGACTTTACGGCAAAAAAAAAGGTTTTACGATCATCTAATGTCTAAGGAAGTAATCAATCTCTTAACATCACAAGTTATATCAAGACTGTTGTTGATTTTTAAAAACATTTAAGAAAATATAAGCGATTTTAAATCATATTTTTTATTAAAGCAAAATAATTATTTTACTGTATTAATTTTTTGTAATAATGAATGTAAGATGTGTCATAATGAACATAATGTGATAATTTCTGGTTTTATATATTTTAATTATTTATTAATTAATTATTTAATTATTTAATTATTATTATTTTATCTTCATTAGTTTTTATTTTACTTTCAAAGATTAAACATCGAGAATTATAAAAAATTTAGACTTACGCAATGAAGCAATAATTTTTCATTCTAAATATATCTTTGAATAATGGAAAAGTAAGATGCTAATATCTTTTCATGCTATAAAACACATCCTACAAAGTCCGACGCGAAACGTGTGTCTTATAAAATTGCTTCTGGAATCTCATTCAGTTTCCGGTTACATCCCCATGGCTTTTAAGTTCAAGCTTCGACCCTTATCGACCGCACCGTCGACTTTGCGCACCTCGTCGGGTGCAGCAGTTATCCAGTAAATAAAGATGAATAGTTTCTCCGTCATCGCTCTTTCACATGCGCACACACGCGCATATACAATCGCTAGCGTGTGTGTGTGTGTGTGTGTGCGCGCAGCAACGAGACGGTTTTAAATTCCGCGAGTCAAAGCGATGTTTGACATGGAAATGTTGAACGATGCATTAAACATGCCACGCCGAGTGCTTCTCCCTCCCGCAAGATCGTAATCCCCCTATTTCTTCTAGAAAAAGGAAAAGTGCTCCCTCCGAGCGTTTGGGGCCTGATCGTATAACCGATGAATTTAGGGCCCCGATTACCCTCGCGCGTTGTCCGAGCTATGTTTATTTAGGCAAATGAAAGGAACGACTGTGGTTTCGCTAGTTTCTCGGCCTTCATATTTGTAAATGCTCACGATGTAATCTTTATACTATGACTAGATGGACAAAGGACGATGATGGACGAAGAAAACAATAGTCTCGACGAGGTAAATGCTCTTATTTGTTTCGCAAACAATAAGAATTATTCTTCGATTCGTTTTTCATTCTTATCTCTTATATTTTCCTAGATGAAACAGTCTAATATGTTAAAAATCTCTAATCTAATTAAAGTCATTGTCGATCATACCAATACAAATAAAATTATCTACTCATTTTCCTTTGTTTCAATCTCAAAAATTAACGCACGTCACATTATATATATTCTTTTTTATTCGTTAATTTTTAGATACAAAATGTATTTTTCGTTTTTATTATCTCTAATATTTGATTATCGCTTTTCTTGTATGTTCTAATAATCTCCTCTATTTTTATCATTGGACATAGATAATATCTTAAGTTACACTTCCAAATTATCGATTCGATATCGTTATGTTATGAATTACTATGTTAAAACACAATACAACGTTTGTAGTGTAGATTATAAACAATATTTCGCTATCACATCCACCATAATTTTATGGTGTTATACATACAGCTTTAGATTAATCGCAACTTTGTCTTAATGTGACGCAAAGTTGTAAATTGGTCTGGTATCATTATCATCGGCGAATTGCAAAGAGCAAAACAAGTGTCGCGAATTTCCGAGTCGTGATTGGCGGAGCAGTTGTCGAGGGGCACCTGCGAGAGGCAATTTTACTGGACCTTCCCATAAAAGGAACTCCCCCCATTGTCCGGCAAATAACATCAAGCTTATTGCATTATTTAAAGAGCCTCGCTTTAGGACTACTTTAAGCTGATCTTCGATTGTCGAAGTACTGTTACCGGCGGCGAAAACTCACATTTTCTCACGAATAAATTGTGAGGGGACACACTTTACGAAAAGTCGGCATTTTTTCAAAACTTAAATTAACACATTACTAAAATAAAGATAAAAAATATCGAAATGCTATATGATTCTATTAGTCAAAGATTTTTATTTTACTATAATTTGCATTGTCTTTGTAGAATAAAATATTTTCGTAAAATTACTTAGAAATTTGTAAGGCTTTTACTCACCGGGTGAGACGCCAAGCTTCACATGCATGCTACTGGGGCTTCTATGATCGGGAGTGGTAACGGGGGCAGCTACGGGTGGTGACAGGTGGGGATGTGTCAGTGGCCCACCACTTGTCGTCGTCGTGGTAGTTGTTGTGGCACAGGGATTTAAGGGTGATGTCCTCTTGAAAGACTGGTCCGTTCTCCACGTGACATCATTGTCTATCCAGACTTTACCTTCAAGTAAGATTAGATAAAATTAAATATGTGTAGAACAATAGCTAATCACATAAAATTCTAATTATTATCTTATAAAAATGTGTTGTGTAATTATATATATATATATATTTTATTATATATATATATATATATATATATATATATATATATTAAAAATGAAAACTATAAGTTAGTTTAAAACATTTACAGTTTAATATTTTATTAATAATATAGTTAATAATTATAATAGTCATAATAAGTCTTTTTTAAATTCCTCTTAAAATTAAAATCAAGCAAATGTTGCTGCACACATGTTGCCTTTCATAAACACGGGAGAAAAGTATGCACGATCTCCCTCGTGTAGGCACTATAGCAATATCAGCAATGGAAGATCAAATTGCAAAAGAGGCTCTCGAGATAAATTCTACGCTCCGCGCGTGTATTAATATAACGCACACCAGCTCAGCTATGCGTGTGCAGAAAATGGCTTCTCTCCCCCGAACGACTCCCGTCGTAATTAGCGACCCTCCAAATCCCCTATTCCTGCCAGTTTTCCCGGTTTTCTCCCGTTTCCCTTAATTTCTGGGAACAATGCCCGATTCTGGATGTTGTTCCAGGCTGCAGTGTCTAATTACACGGGGGCATATCGAGCTCTTCCTCTTCTTCCCAAATTTGTAAGAGAAATGCATAGGGTGCACCAAAATGTGTAAATATAGCATACGAATATTTGCCAATGCTATCAAATAGCAAAACTTGACAAGATTGCAGAATTAAAGAAATTTGTATTAAGTTAATAACAATAACTTTCATTTAATAACAATTTATCAATTGTACGTAAAATTTTTTTATATATAAATAATCAGTCAAATATTAACAGATAACTTTTTTCAGAAATTTATTCAAGTTTTTTTTAATCTATATCACCCGTAAATAACTTTATTATTATATTTCAGAAATAATATGTCGCGTGCAAGATCTAGAATATCCATATCGTGTCTTTTCGAGCACCCCGTAGCTAGCGAGGATCTCGGATTTATGGAACATGCGAACATCGCCCCCGCATGTATACGACGTGACTCAGACTCAGTATTATTTGCTTGACGAATGATTTAGCCCGAAATACTTAGCTCGCTTTTCCCCATCACCTCTCCCCTACTATTTTATCTTCTCGCACCCCCACTCGCTATTAACCTTTCTTCGTTCTATCTCTACCTCTTAACAACAATCAGAAAAGCGCGTTGCTCTAGAGACAAAAATACAGTAACCAGAAGACGGGTAGAAGAGAACAGAGGGTGACGGGTGGTTTAGCAGCATGCAGGAGAGAGACGAAGATAGAATGAGGGTGGTAACCGGAGCTCGTGGTTTCGCGAAAGAAAGAAAGGACGTTCTTCCTATCGAGAGGAAAAAGAGAGGCGGGAAAAGCGGTGGGGCTGAAGAAAGTGTAGCCGGTGCTAACTAAGGGCGTCGGCTAATCAATATCATCAGAGAATGGCCGCTGACCTCCATCTACCCCGCTAGACTGACCATTGTCCGGTATTCCACGTTTCCAACGAGCCTTATGTACGAATTCGAAACATTCCATTTCTCTTCTTGTCGTAAATTTTGAGAAAGATCTAAATTCCAGCAATGTTTTATATAAACTATGTTGTACTGTCACGATATTATGTTTATAAAATTATTATAAAATTTATTACTAATATAAAAATATATTAAAATATTATTATTGATAGATATTATTACTTTAAAACTTTCTTTATTAATAATTATAACATTTTATCAGCTCATTTTATCGTTAATTAATCAATGTCCTATATCAAAATGAAATTAACTTCTAATTAAATAGTTTATTATATATTCGCATTGAAACTTTTATAGAAACTAAAAGTCGCCTGAATGCTATTTCCAGAAGGATGGCTTGCCCGCGGCTACAATTCAGACCATAGTACAGAGCCTTCCTTTAATCTCGTAGTGTTTGCATGGCTCCCTGATTTTATTCAATCCCACGGAGACAATCAAAACTGGTACACCCTAAAGGAATAGTAAGTCCGACGTAAAATTGCGCGTGGACTTGTGGAAAATTCAATTGTATAGAATAATAGAAGGCTGCAAAAATCATATTGTATATGTTATTATTTAAAAAGATTATAAAAAATGTGGGTAAATGTGGGTACATTATCTTATTTAATAAATTTTTTAATTACAGAAAATTAAATCTTCCCTTGGATTAAAAAAAGAAAATGCAATATCTCTCAATATCTCTCAACAAAGAATAATTTAGAAATGGAAAAGAAAGACTAATCTCTCACCCGATCATAGACTCTGCGATGACTCGTTCATCGGCCTCATCTACACATCCCTCGCGCGCTTTTTCTTTTTTCTCGTCCAATGAGGGTCGCCACTACGTCGGAACAAAAATCAGTCCGCATAAACAGAACCATCCATTCCCTGATTCGCCCCTTCCATCCCTATGCGCCATCGTAAGCCTTGCAGAGAACTTTTCCCCTCTTCCTCCTTTGCATTCTCCCTCATCCATTCGTCCAACCCGGCGTGAACTCCATTCACGGGTTTATCACTGTCCAGATAACAACGATTTACCTACACGCGAACTCCTCTTTGGGTTCCGGAAGAGTAGAAGGGTGTACATGGAGGGGTTGCCAGAGGAGAGGGACGAGGTGAACCCCATGGCAGGACCGCTGAAGAAGGCGAGACGGGCAGCCACCTTGCATTCGGGAGTATTTCACTTTAACGGCCCTCTGGGGGATTGGCTGACCCCGACCGAAGACCCTTCACCGTTTCGGCATAATGGACCTCTACATTACTTATTCGTCCTGGCCAATGTCCTGCTAGCGGCTCCGTTCCCAACTACGGTGCAGACGGCGAGGACGAAGCCACTCGTTTTCCACGTTCTGCCATTCCTGCGCGCGATTAATCGCACGTCGCAGGAACAAAGATATCGAGAAACGGGGGACGCCGCAATAAGAAACAGTTACTTACGTTAAATAAAAAATGAGATGAAATGTTTAAATACACAAAATATTGCTAAGTTACAAATTTTGCGTTAATAACATAAATCTAAAAATTGCAGACATGGAACATTTAAAATTCTTCTGAAAAAAGTTACGTTTATGTGTTTCAAAATTTTCTGCCAATCACGTATTTTCACCTTTTTCTTTAGCAAAGATGAGGACCACCTTTGCTGATTCCAGCTTCCGGGTACCAGGCAGTAGCACGGAAGAACAACATGCCCCGAGCAAACTGCTTTCCTCCCGCGGTACTCGAAAGAATTGAAAATTCCTGCTCGTCCAAGGGTTGAGGAGGTCGGCGATGGAGCGGGCGGTGGCTGGGGGAACGAAGAAGCGGGACGAGGAAACGAACGCGGATAAAGCGTTCGATATAAGATTAATGCTAGAGGCCGCCGACCGGTCCCGCGCACGTCGAGGACCGTTCAGCCATACACGAAGGCAATGGTGATTCCTCTTTGAAGGTAGAACCGTGGGCAGTGGCCAAATTGAATCCTGCTTAGGACAGAAGAAGCGTCGAGAGAACGGGAGGATGAGCGGGAGCCGGCCCCGAAGCCCTTTCTCCAATAAATAAATCGCCGACCGTCCGTGGGTCTCCGATTTTCAGCTCGAACGTACGGATTAAAATCGACCGGCCGATTTGTAGCGACGAACGCCGGAAGTAATTGCACGATTATCTTGTTTCTATTTTTCTTCGATCTTTTTTTGATAGATACAAAGTACGTATTCTTATACGGTAAGAATATGAATATTCATACTTTCGCTTTTTTATCAAAGTCTTATATTAATATACAAAAATTATTTTATATATAAGAAAATATAATATATAACAAAATAAAATAAAATGAAAGAAATATTTTATAAATAAAACATCAAAGTCTTGCGTTGAAAATATTATACTATTTGAGCGCAGATCACGTACTTTAATCTGTATCACTTTCTTATCATACACTTCCATATATAACTTCTGAAAGATACGCGAATTTAAAATATTTGTTCTACTTTACTCGTATCGAATCATACTGCACACGCAAAAATATAAAAATATTTATCTTATCTTATATTCCATCAGAAACTACTAAACATAAATTAATTAAAGAAGACGTTATAGGTTTAAAGATAATAGATAATACGTATATATCTTCTGTGATATAAAAATGGAAAAAAGAGCAGATCTTTGATGCTTAAACAGATGTACATTCTTAATCGGTCATTGCTTTCATCAATTTATCAGTAACACCATAAAGATATCAAAATCATCTTCTTATCGACTAATTATTGTCATGATTGATTAATGACTGGCATTGCTTTCGTAATAATAACAATATTTATCATCTATCAATCTGATTAACTGAATAAGTATATGAGGTATTAACAAAAGATAAAAGTATATGCGAGCATACACGCGTTTTATGAAAAATGGCTACATTATTATTACTTTGTATTAAATATTAATAACAAAATATTTCTATTTTATCTCAAATATTTAATTTATTCTAAATATTTTATTCATTTTATCTTAAATAACTAATTTTTAGCTATTTAGTTTTCTATCTTAAATATTTAAACATTTTCTTTTTATCAACAGCAGACTAGATATTACTCTAACCTAATCCCTAATTAGGTCTAACTAGTTAAATACTTAACTAATTCTATTATCTGTATAAACAATTCGATTGTCATCTTTTTTTCCTTTAAGTATGTAACATTCATAAGCATGTAATTCCGTTTTTTATCTGAATCATTACGATGAATCATATAACATGTACATGTACATTTACAAAATTTTTATTTTAATCACATTGACTCATACTGATAAAATTCTAAAAAAAGTCTAACGCATATCAATATCAATTAACAATGTTTATATAACTAAAACTTCTGAAATTCTTACAATTATCGTATGATAAGTATCATAATAAACGTTATAAAAAATATATGTTATGAAAAGATATTAACAATTTTCAAAATACTGCAGTATGCAGTAATTTTCCTATT